TCAAAAAAATTCTGAGGATCTTCATTTATCAGCTGTTCCATTTCGAGCTTGTAAATCCTAAAAGCAAATCGAGATTGTTTTTTATATTCACGACGTAATTCGATATGTTGGTTTCTTATCACATCAGTCGGATCAAATTTCTTCTTACTGTGCAATTTGTTAACACGATTCTTCATATTTATTAGTTCACGGCTAAACCACTTTGGATGATTGAACTCTTTTCTGGTTTTGACTTCAACATTCATTTCAATTCCAGTGTTAATTCTCGAATACATATGGTCAACTGCTGCATTCAGATCGGGTTCGTTGATAATACTGCTCCAGTCGGCATTTGAGAAATAATCATTCATTGCATTGTAATCAGCATTCTTGAAGTCTTTGTACGAACTTTGATTTTCGGCTTTCTTTTCAATTTTTTCATGGATGATTACTTCAAGCGCTTGATGATGTGATTCTTTCTTTGCTATGTCGCTGTCATTTTTGTTGCATGTGAACAAGTTGGGTTCATTGGTCCATATTAAATCCAGCCACCGATTGTTGTTGTTGTGATGTGTGCATATTTGATGCAATCCAAGCTCGTTGCAAGTGTCGAGCACGATTCTTTCTTTCTCACTCACCGCATTGATAGCCACTGCTACATTTGGATTGTGTTGAAAAATGTCATCAGGATCATAATCAGCATTGTTGTTGCATGTGTACCAGATCAGATTCCGGAGATTGAAATCACCCGATACCAACAACACATCGTTTTGATTTGCTTTAGAAGCGACTTCACGTAGTGCATTCATGTTTGCTTTGTAGACTTCAAACGGTGAGTCTGGTCGAATGTATAGCTGGATCAGTATTAAATTTCTGCCATTATACTTGACTTTTGCCCAGACTTGTTCCGCTCCAAGATGTTCGGCTGTTCCAATGCATTGTGGTTGCAACGATTTTTCTACTGCAATTAGTACACCACCCCAGCCTTTCTTCTTGACTCGCTGATATTTTTCAGTGTCCGCAGATCTGTCACAGCGAAACACTTCGAAATTTTGTGGAAAAAATTCAGAAGAGGCGACATCAGGACTGAGGTGTGATTCGCTCAACATGTAAAAAAGGAAAGACGACGCAAGCACTTCAGCAAGAAAGTTTATCGCTTTTTCTTTATCTTTGATGCCATTCATATTATTGCAATATATTGCAGCGTCATCCAACATTGGAACTACATTATTGAATAGATGTTGTTGATGTGGCTGCTGAATGTGAAATGATGTGGCAAAAAGTGGATTTAAACAGAATGATGAGGTGGAGAAGGCTGGGTTTAACTGTGATAAAATGGCTGAGGTTGTGCATACATTGGCATTTGTGGTGGTAGATGTTGTGGCATTTGCATTGGAATTTGTGATGGATGGTGATGCATTTGTTGCAAACCTGGTATCACATACGGCGGATGGAAAAATGGTTGCTGCAGAAAAGGAGCAGATTGCTGCCACTGACTTAGCCGTTGGCTATACACATTTTGATTTTGAAATCTCCGATTGTGATTGTATGGACGGGAGAAATTTTCAAAACGATGATTTCTGTTGGAATATCGTGTCTTTCGCTGATTGTCATTTTGCTCTCGTCATTTTGCTCACGATTGTTGTTGTTATCAGAATTATGTTGTGTTGTTCGTTTTTTTTCGGCGTTTTGTTTATTTTTCTTCTGAGCTGTACCATCAGATTGCTTTTTCACTGGGTGAATGAATGGTTTCACGATGTAATTTGGATCCCAATCATCCAAGGTGATGATCTTGTTGCAAACTTCATGGGACAAAGTTGAAATTTTGAAAGATGAAACATTTCTTGAGTTACCTTTGAACCGTTTGTTTGGAATTTTCTCAACAGAAAAGGCATCAGTGTGAATTTCAGAGTTGGCAATGATAATGGCAGTTACATCATCGGAGGTAGCATCTTTCGGCAAACGAGAAACATGAATTGAATAAATACCATTTATCGGTGTGATTTTTTGTGGCCCAGGTGTTTTTTTCGGATTGGTGTTTTTGTTGTCACTATGACTAGCTGAAGATGATGCACCTAAATCAATTAAACCATTATTCAATTTGTTTTGTATCGATTTGTTGACAGATTTAACGATTTCTTCACTCAATCGCTGAATGGATACTTCTCTGTGCTCCATTTCAGTGGTTATCTTGTTGAACTTAGTTGCACAGCAATGACATGTTATTCCGAATATTGAATCAGCGCTGAACATTTGAAGAAATTCGGAATATTTGCTGGGTTTGTCCGATAATATCTTCCATTCGAAAGTACCATCACTTCTTACAGTTTTAGACATCAGTTCAAACGCATGCAATAACTCCTTCGTTCTCAATTCATCAAGCTGGCGTAGACACTCAACAAATATTTTTTTACCACAAAACCGGCAATTCAGAGACCATCCATAATATCTGGATCCATTACAATTGTTTGTTTCACAGCTGTGTGGTTGTGTTGTTGACATGTTGAGGTTATATTGCTGCGAGTTCAGTGTTATGATTTTAATGTTTTTATTTCACCGTTTAATTTATGTTGACTAGTTCAATAAAATTATATTTACAAATAATACACGTAGTGAAATACTGCCCGATCGGAAAACCTATTGCTGCCACTCCTAACAACCTTGAAACAGCACTGTGGCAAACCGATTGTATTCACTGTAAACAGTCTTGAAAATAATCTGCTTTTTTCCTTTTTAATTTTGTACTATTCTCCTGAACTTCACTTTTTCCGATGAAATTGTCATTTAAACTTTCATGTCGTAGCAAATAAAAGTTGGGAACAGTTTGAAATATTTAAAAAAAACGAAAATAAATTATTTTTTCTTATTACTTATTACAGTCATCTTATTACAATCTTATTACTTATTACAATCTTATTACTTTTCATCTTATTACTGTAACAAGTCCATCTTATTACAGTAATAAGATGGAAAGTAATAAGTAGTAAGTTACTTATTACTTTACTTTACTTAAAGGTGGCAAATGGACGGACAGAGGACGAACATTTCGCGCCCGTCCGTCCTTTTATTGATTTGGGACAAACGGACATTTGTCCCAATGTCCCATTTCAAATTAGGACAAACGGACATCTGGTCCTGATGTCCCATTGCTAAAAAAGACAAACGGAAATTTGTCCTAATGTCCCGTTTCAAATAAGGACAAAC